GGGGGGGGGGGGGGCTTGTTATTACAACGTTCTCAGTTGTATTTATAACCATTTTGCTTGACAAAATGAATTATACAGAAATTATTGGCGTTTATTTTAGCGCGTATTCTCTATATCTGTATATTGCGAATATATCTATGATTATATTATTCACACATGGGACTATACAGAGAAAAAAATGAGTTGAGATGATAATATAACGAGAAGTGAAATAATATTGCAATTAATCTATACTGTAATGTACACGATGATGACGATCATTATTATTATTATTGTAATATTTGATGACATTTCATGAGATATTCTTATTGTTAAACGCATCTCTGTTCTCTGCTTTCACGATACATGATATATCCTTTGCAACAAAGAGACAACGGCAATGCGTTATACAGAGCGATATTGAATAATGTAGACGAACTTTTTTCGTATGAGTTTTTTAATTGATATGGGGAATATAAACCTCTCTTTTTAGCGTTGTAATTTGTATACACGCCCATCCTCTCCTCCTTCCCCCCTTTTTGACATTTTAATACATTATCCAATTCATTAAAATATATAAAATTTAAAAAAGTTTCTATTAATCTTTACTCCTAAAGGTTAAAGTTACTTAGCAATTATAACTTGAAAATCGGCGACAATTCATTTGTTTTCATTTAAAGAGATTATAATCGACTTCAAATTCATTTCAAAGATCCAATTGTAAAGTTTATCGATATTATTCAGATTGCTCTGCATATAAGGCCATGCTACACGTCGATAAGAGACGAAGAAAAATCGCCGGAAATTTATTAGCGAACTTCGCAGGTTAAATCGGTTAGGAAATTCGCATTAAACATCATTTCCATATTAATTGATTAATTGAAACACTATCAGTTCTTTAGGGCTAGTTCCATATTAATCCATAGTTTCTTCGCCCGTACATTTATTCGCTTCAGTGTCATCCTCGATGATCTTTCCATTCGCATTATCCGCAACGAGCTTGCATTCATCCTCCGTCTCTTGTATCTTTCTAGCTTCGATGTCCACGTCGTCCTGCAGCATACCTTGTTGTAGAAAGTAGTTACGCAGATTCTCCCTGACTTCCTGGCAGAATTTGTTACGATTCGCCTCGACATAGCGATACACAAATAGATCGGCGCCAGTGATGACGAAGCGATGATTGAATACATTGATGCGCGCACCCACAAAAAGATCCTCCGGCGTGTAATACTCTCGATCGTCCCTTCTCGTACTACACGGCTTCGGGATCAACCTAAAGGATAAGAAACAAGCCTCGTGCCGGCCGGAATTGCGCCTCTCCCTCTCGATGATTCGAATAGCACCGTCGCTCAATCTGTACTCCAACACAAAGTCGCGGTCCTCATCTTCCGGATGCACCGCATCCATCCGCATGGAATAGCGGAGCTTCTTCGCGAAGTTGATCAGTTGACGAATGACGTTTTTCTTGGGCGACTTCGACACGAAGGACGGACTACTGACATACGTATCTTCAGGGCTGTCGATTTTTATATGCGGCGGCGCTTCGCACTTGATTGGCGTCGGTTTCTCGTCTCTCACGGGAACCGGAATTGCGTCCGCTTGCGGAACACCCAATACGTCGGAGTAGTACTTTCGTGTGAAGGCGTCGCAGTCATGTAGCAGGAAGCATCGGCCGTATAAGAGGATTGTTTCGCCTACCTGTGAGGATGGTCAACGATATGATTTCAATCTCGCTTTCGTTCGCTTCGGAGAAGTTCTCTGAAGAAATATTCGTATGTCCTACCGCTTAGATAGCTTGCAGAAATTGAAAGTATTATTGAAATTCCTTAATATTGTCAGTTTACATATGCAGGATATTCCAATCAAGCATGTTTATGTTCGATGAATAGAAATAAGAAAAAAATGTTAATATAAACCTAGATCCAAAAGCGCTTTATTATCATATTATATTGAAAAAAAGTAGTTTATTTAATTGTCCTTTTCAAAATTGGTCCTCCCCGACTTATCCGTTTTAATATAGCATTTTGATATGAAATTGTACCGATAAAAATGTGCTGATACTTCGAAACTGACTACAAGTTCGCTCATTCATTGAAACTGATCACCTTATATCTGGAACACCACGTATATCTCATAAACGAGATATTATTTTGAAAATATTTTAAAAATGAAATGGAAGCGTTCACACACTTGTCCTTAATCTGTTAATTTCAAGATTATATTCTACGTTCGTATGATATAGAAAACATTGACAAGTGTTTCTACACAAAGGGATTGTTGTGTGATAACATTTGGAGATCCTATTCAATTAATGCTAAGAGAGCTTAGTATCGCGTCAAGCAAAGTAAACAATGGACTCTTACTCTAAAATCTCGCGGTGTGTAATACTCAATGATCTCGGGATCTCCGTATTCCATGTAGATACTTGGATGCCAGGACGGCAAACTTTGCCAATTCTTGGGCACGCGTGTACGCTTGAGCAGCATCGCCACGGGGTCCTTGCCATCGTTGGGCTTGTGAATTTCGCGAATCGCCACAGTATCGTCCGTTAGGAAATACAACACCCGATAACGATCGTCGTTCCACGTAGCGTCGAACGACAACACCATGCCATCGAACTCTAGAAAACGCCGCCTAGGATCCTCGCTCATCATTCGCGTAGTAATCCTTCCAATCGTCCCGTCATGCTTGATCTTACGCTGCTCCGCGTAAGGATCCGCGGGTAGACTCTCCTTTTCGCCGACATCGATGCCTTGGCTCGTCAAGAACTCCCTGGTGAACGAATCGCAGTCGACGATACGATAGACCACGCCGTAAATACCTGCGAGAAAACGCGTACTCTATTCGGAATGCGTATAATTTACATTTGACACAAAAATTGTTGATTCTTTTTATAAGGTGTAATTTCTGAATAAATAGGTGCTGTTTTAGCCAGATTCTCTAAGAAATCTTGAAGTGCATCTTGTATAGAGAACTGGAAGATGTCCTCTCTGCTCGAAATGATATAGACGGAAGAAAAACGAGGCGAAGAATGTAATATTCAATCACCGATAACATACACACGTTGATCCCGACGTTGAAGTCCTTCCAGATGAACGGGTCTCCCTTGGCGTTCTTTGGGATCTTATCGCGCCTCACCAATTTGCCCTGCTGGAAACCGGCGTTGTCCACCACCGGCTCTATTACACAGAGCGTGTCGTCCTCTAGGTAATAAACGATATCCACGTGGCGAATGCGATAGTGCTCGTCCGGGGAGTCAAAGACCCCCTGACGGAAGAAGGCCTTGAAATGGAGACACTTTTGCGCAAACAACGCGTAACGCGGCACGAATTGCCGAAACGCGTAACGAGGCGCTCGGCCATAAGTCAATGATGGATCGTATCTACGTGATTAAAGATACAATTAATAATAATATAATATGAATTAAGCCGGAGAGAATATAAATTCATATAATTATTCCAATTACAAGTGTGTGTAGTATTCTATGGAATAAAATAATATAATTAATACCAACGCGCGCAATATGGTCTTGGAATAGAAAGATTCGCTATTACTTACTCAATTGGATCTGGACATTCGGCATAACGAAGAGATGCTGCATCCGTCGGTCTCCTACCGAGGTCGTAATTGGTATCGCGTATCACAGAAAAGCCGTTTGAAATGTCGAGCTTGTGCGGCAATTTATAATCCTTGATCTTATGAAACGAGTGAAAGGTTCATATATAGCCCCCTTATTAGCCGCTAAAGTACCGATTTACCCATGCGCATTCTTTTAATTATATGTATAATCTCGCGATGTGACAAAGTAAAAGTAGAGAAAGAGAAAGAGAGAGAGAGAGAGAGAGAGAGAGAGAGAGAGAGAGAGCTTAATTATTCAAACACTTACGTTAACATCTCGAAAAGTGTATCCCGGTAAAAGGGGCAGACTTGCCATGCCGAAGCCAAAGTATCCAGTGATATTAAAAATGTATCTTTCGTCGAGACATATTCGCAATGATAATCCGACATCCGCGCGATTTCGAGACTCTTGTTTGAACGTATCTCTATAACAACGCGGGCTACCTTCATCGATTTTTAACCCTCGTATCACCGCGTAGCTCGGCCCCCAAGATATTGTATTTATTCATTTTTTTTTCGTCAGGAATATTGGGACGCTTAACTTAGGCTGCGTTTCAATATTCACTGCCAGTACTGAAAATCTATAGTTTACGTCACGTACAATATAGATTTTCAGTACTGACAGTGAATATCGAAACGCAGCCATAAACGGACTCGAAAAAAAGGAACGTGATACGAAGTTATGGAGTTTCTGTTCGACCATATTTATTTGTTGAAGAACTTTTATTGACAACAGAGGAGAGCGGTATTTGGATGGCGATTTTCTGCGTCTAAAGCCGCGTCTTCTCGGCCGCGTGACGATCACAAACTAATCACTTCGCGGAAGATGGCCATGCAGCCGGCGGACAGGCAGCCGGCCATCGGCACGGTAATCAGCCACGCGAACGCGATATTGCGAAACAACTTCCACGAGACCCCTTTGCCGCCACGTGAGACCCATCCCACGCATACCACCGATCCCACTTTGCAATGCGTCGTTGACACGGGTAGACCGATCTTACTTGCCAACAGGACCGTCACTGCGGCACCCACCTGCAATTAAACGAATGTATAATATACTTTTAAAAGAACAAGTAATATTTAATTAATATTTTAATATTTAAGTTAATTATGGAGTTTAGTTAAAAGTATTCTTTTTATGTCGATTGTAAATTTCTTGGACTTATTGTTAATAGTATAATTTTTTTCTACTTGTATATAAAAAACACAGAGATCAAAAGTATATAAATTACTATAATATAAAAACGTCAAATGGACAAATTGTCAACTTGTCAGAATTCAACACAAATTCACACGTGCATATATAATATACTTGATATATTTCGCCAATAATCTTATTGTTAGATGATTCTTCGAAAAATAAGCGTGCATTCAATCACCTCTATGGTAAATCCTGTAATCGGGGTGATACGCGCCAGGTCCTGACCCAAGGTCCGTATCACTCTGCGTCCCCAAACCCATAGTCCTGTGGAGATACCTAGGCCGCCGTACAAGAGTATGAATATGGATGTTTCGGCCTCCTGCCGGGCCGAGCCCTCCGTGTACACTGCCCAGAGCGCGATAAGCGGACCGATCGCATTGCTGACGTCGTTGCCGCCGTGGGCGAAACTACCGAACGCCGCGGTGAGTACCTGAAGAAAGGCAAATAGCCGCGAAACCTCCGGCTGCTCATCCTCCTCCATCATACCGTCTGCCTGCGTATTCTCCGCGTCCGCCTGTGCGACCATCAGCAACGGGCTTTCGCTGCTATTGCCGCGCAACTGCGGTGTCGTTACCGCCAAATTAGATTTCGCGTTACCATTGCTGCTGTCGCTGCAAGGTACTTCCGAGATTACCGACAATGCCGTTGTCTCCTTCTTGTCTTGACAGGCGCTAAATTGCGTCGTCGTCTCCTCACCGCTACCGCTCGA